GTCTTTCACCATTGGGGGTACTTTCTTACTTTTCTTCTCTCTGTCTCTCAGGCAAGTGCATGCACCCTCTGGAAAATTTTTTTTAAGAAGGTGATTGCATCTGTTTAAACAGAATCTCTTAGGAACATGTATCATCTTATGTGTGACATTTCTGAAAAATTCTAAGTTTTAATTTAAAACTGGTAAATTCCTGGCAGCATTATTGGCAATCCTAGTACTTAGAATGCCATGGTTGAGACTTTTATTTTATACATGTTGAGTTTTATTCCTGTAAGTTACTTCATGGTTATATGTAATAAATGAATCCTGTGAAATAAAACTATGGAGACCTCAGAGCAGAAGTAATAGTTATTTAAAATTAATGTGTGGCAATGCATGGTCTTTTTGAGCTTCCAAAATATTGCTTGAATGTGTAACCACCAAGTGAGTATCGTAGTGGGTAAAAGAACCTTCAATATTTAATTATTAGTACTGATGATATTCTCCCTATTAAGTATGCACGGGGAAGTCTTATCTGAAAATACAGGTTATTATTTTTATTTTATTAAACCTGTGTTTTCACACAAAACTGTCCTAGGCATACTTAATAGGGGAAAATCACCAGTGTAGAGTGGTGGGAGGAGGGCTTTCTAAGCAGAATGAAGAGCTTTTCAAAGGCCTGAGGCTTTAAGGAGCTTGGGAATATCAAAGGAAAAATAAACTGAACACAATCCCTAAGGCTGGGGCTTTCTGAGTGCAGAGAGGGTGGCACTACTTGAGGTTGATAGGCAGGGCCTTGAGGCCCTAGTAATAAGTGTGGTTTTAAGTGCAATGGGAAGCAATGGAACTGTTTCAAGCAAAGGAGCAACATGATCTTATTTGAGGTCAAGACTTCCATCTTTTCATCAAACCCATTTGTCTCTTCTCCCTGGGCACACAGCCAGAATCTGTTTCCTGGTTCTCTATCCAGTTGGCAGTGAGCCATGTAACTGTATCCTGCCATGGAAGTAAGTGGAAATGGTAAATACTATGACAAGGGCTTACTCCTAAAATCTCCCTGGTGGACTTCCTCATGCTGTTTTCCCTCTGACTGGGCCACCTTGGGAACCATATTGAAATGGCAGAATTACTTTTAGCCTGGACCCCTGCATGGATGTGCAGAGCAGGAATTCCTCCTGGCCAGCCTAGAAATGTCCTAAAGCAAGAAGGAAATGCCGAATGGTTTGAGCCTTTACTTGCTCTGTCCCTTTGCTAACCACATGCTAGTTTGTCCAAGTTAATACAGTGATGGAAATGGGACATTTCGGCCATTGTGCTACGGGAGGATGTGGAACAGTGCAAACAGTAGCAGTGGCCACAGTGAAGGTTTATCATGATGTTGACTAGGGAGATCCGAGCTGAAATAATTGCTAGATGATTTGGGATGAAGAATTAATAGCTCGTACTGATGGTTTGCTTTGTGTAGTGAGATTGAGGTGGGTAGAAAGGTCCCTTGATTTGACTCAACTGCCATTTCGCTTACTTTCTGGACTTTTTCTAACACCTTGTTGAATAACTTTAGGCATGCATTTTATTTAGTTGACTTGATTTAATCAAGTGGAGGGCTGTCTTTGAGAAGTCTATGGTATCTAGTATAGGGCTTTACAAAAGTTACTTTTCTTTTTAATCAAGATTTGCTTAAACTAATAAATAAAAGGACACTCCCAAATTCTTGTCAGGGAAGTTATTAGAGGTCACAGAAACCAGCTCGAGCCTCGTGCCTCGCAGCTAGTATTTCCTCAACCTGACTTACATTTTCTTTGCTTTCTAAGGGAGAGGTTTAATTATGCTCAATTTTGTTTTGCCTATGGCTTACTTGGAGAAAGTAACTTCATGGGGTTTGAGATTTGAATGTTTGCCAAAGATGTTTAGAGAAATGTTTTCCAAAGGCATATGGGCTAATCCTCGTTAACACCTCCTTCACTTTCAATTGACCCCAAAAGCCATGCCCCTTGCTCAGGAGTCTGATGCTTCAGGGTCCTCTTTGTACCCACAGCCAGGCACTTATCTGGGAGCTTCATTATGATGTATAGAAAGTCTCAGAATAGGGGTTTTCTGTAATCCACATGAACAATGATGAAGTATGCAACTCAGGAAGTGTCCCTGGAAATAGGAGGTTAGAAGATGAATGTGAAAGACTTTACAGAACATGGTGACTGAATGGATTTGAGGCAAAGAAAAGGCTGGGATAAAGAGAAATGCTGGAACTCCCGTGCTGACCAACTTCAACTCAAAATCTTACATATGTATCAAAGATGTGTTTCCAAGATAAAGCCAGTTAAGTTTCCTGCTACCACAGATGGCTTTACCTATGAGACTGGACATTTCAGACTTGGATACGTGCTACTTTATTAACTTATTATATGTTTACTGTGTTTGTGCTTAATTTGAATGTGTTTTCTGGATATTATTAACCCATCCATGCTTGAGAAGCACAAAAGCAGTGGCTGTTAAAATAACTGTGATAAGAGATATGAAATTACAATATTGGAAAGATTAAGCAGATATTGAAAATCATGAAAAAGATGTTGGAAGTTGTATTTGTTGAAAGTTGTAATTGTAGAGATGATTCCAATGATGGTAGGACAACTCTGAATAGGGAAGAATTAATGAGAAATTTATGAAAAATACAATGCATTTCACAGTTCAAGGGTAGGTAAAAAGTAATTAGTAGTTGGAAAAAAGAATTCAAATATTGAAATGTGTGTCTGGAAAATCAGCTTTACTACTGAATGCCTACTGTTCAATTAAAAAATATTTATTTAATTTTATCATTATCCTATTCAGTTTACTATTAGCTGAGAGAGAGCAGGGAAGAGAGAGAGAGAGAGAGAGAAAACCAGAAAGCAAGCCACCATGTGCGGGACTTGAGCCATGGTTAGCCATGTGGGAATTCAGTGTCTCAACCACCACGCCACCTACTGGCCCTGCTCAATTTTAAGTGAAGGCTAGCAGTTTGTTCCATGGGGCAAGGAGCAAGTATGGTAAAGATCTGTGGTTATGTTTTCTTTTAAAGATAACATAGCTTCAGGGACTGTTTGTATGTAAATAACATTAAATTGGATATAGATGTGGCATATAAAGATGTGATAGCTTTAAAGAATTCCCTGGAAACTTCCAAAGGAAAAGAAGGGGAAGACCAGACCTGATGGTAGAAGTCATATTGGAAAAGGACAGATTTTAATGCACCAGAAAAACTACAGTCAGAGCAAAGCATATTTGCAAAAATATGTACGCTTTGGTGAGGGGGTACCTAACTTTAAAAAATTTTTATTTATTCATTCATTTATTTAAATTTCACCAGATTGAGAGAGAGAAAGAGAGAGAAAGTGAGAAAGCAAGGCACCAGGTCCAGGACCTGAACCATGGCCAGACATGTGGGAGTATCCAGTGCCTTAACCACCATGCCACCTGCTGGCCCCAGGGGTACTTAACTTTTAATTCTGAGTTGCTTAACACCATAATGGCAGAGATACTAAATCAACACCCAGAAAGGGTAAGAAACCTCTCTCTTGCCTAGTTTTCTTGAGAGTCATATGTGAGTTAGCTAAAGGTCTCAGGAAAAACATATGGGTTACCTCTAAATCTGACTTACTGTAAATCTGAAATATACAGAGGGTCTTCACTAAGTTCATGGAAATGTGCATTATTAAACTATCAATAATTTCAAAGTTTTGTGGACTAAAATAAACTTATACCAAAACTTTTTTTATGACCTTTTTTGCAAGTCTCCATAGATTTTTAAAATAATTAGTTTCCACACTAACACATTATTTATTCAATTTTGTTTTTAAATAAATATGTTGATATTTAAATTGATACTGCATATTAATGTATGCTCTTTGGAGTAGGTATATGAGCTGCAACTATTTGACTATAATGTGGACTTGATACTTAAGGAAGAAAACATTTAAGACAAAACAATAATTTGTTTTCAGTTATAGTTCTGGACATAGTCCTGAAGATTTCAAAATAATCAAATAATGAAAAAAGGCCAGAAAGGTAACAGAGAGGTAGAATGAACTGAATGTAAAGATAAACTTTTCAGTGTGGAAGGAGGAAGCTTGAAGATGAAAAAAATTATACATATATACACATACATATTCACATTGGTATATACACATACATATATAAAATCTCAAGTTAGATTAAGATAGGGACAAATATGTGCTAGTTCTTTAAACTAGAACATATTCGGAATGTGGAGTTTCTATAGAAGCTTAAAGAGAATGTTTAAAAGACAAAACTAACTTGATGTACTGAGGGAAGTATCTTACCTGTCTCCCACCTTAGTGTTATGGAAGATGTAAATGACTTCAGAAAAATATTTAACATCGCATGGACAGCAGTGCTACAATGGGTTATTATGGGAAATTAGGGACTTTTTTTGAGTTTAAGTGTCCCATAAGATTTCTTTTAAAGATAAAATACCAAGGAGACTATATATTAATAAATATACTTCTTGGGGCCAGCAGGTTGTGTAGTGGTTAAGGTGTTGGACTCCCATGTGACTGACCATGGGTTGAGTACCAAACCCGATGGTTTGAAACTCATGCTGGGCGTGTGTGTGTGCATGTATGCCAGGATCCCAGGAAGAGAATGGAGGAGAAGGGATTGCAGCATGGCCATCTCCTCTAGGGCCATCTCGCCTTGCTTTCTGTCTCTGTCTCTCCAGTAAGTGTACATGTCCTACAGCAAAAAATCTCTCTCTCTCTCTCAAAAAAACAGTCTGATGAGATGTATACAAGGTGTTCTACCTTATATAATTTTTCTAACTCCTATCACAAATGAATTCTCATGTAGTATGAATTATTGATACTTAATAATAGCTTAACTATTTTAAATTTAATAGCCAAACATGGAAAGAAAAAAACATCAGCTTTCACAAATTGTCTTCTTGCCATTTCAAAGGACATACTTCTGAGCTGAAGATGATAGGTGTTTTGTTTTTGTTTTATTAACAAATTTTATGCTTTCTCTAGGCTGGAATGATAAAAAGTGATAATGAAGAATATTTCATTGAACCCTTGGAAAGAGGGAAGCAGATGGAAGAAGCCAAAGGAAGGGTTCATGTTGTTTACAAGAGATCAGCATTAGAACGGGCTCCCATCGACCTGTCCAAAGACATACACAGCAGAGGTAAGCATCTTTGACAAGCCTTCATAACCAAACAGAATGTTGAGATGTGATGAAAACAACCCCCTCAATTAAGAGAATGTGATTGTCATGTGCTCTTGTATAATGCAAAGGTAGCAGAGGAAGTTTATATTTATAAATAATGAACTGCGGCTTCCCTTTTTAAAAATGCATAGAGGAATATGTGGCATGGGTATTATTTTATCCCAGTTCATTTTTCGTTCCCAAGATATTTGTTATTTTTAACTTCTTTTTAAGAACTATACATTAAAACTATCTTTTCTCTAGCTTTTTTTTTTCAATCTGAAAACAGCCACTGTTTATTTACTGACCAGATTACAAAAATAAAGATTTGTGTTTTCCAGAAGTTTCTAAACCATAACATTATTAATGTTATTTTAAAACTTTTTGAATGAGAAGTATTGCCATGGCAAAGAATTGTGTTTTGTTTCAAGACCAGTGTGATAGATATCTTTGAAAATAATTATGGTATTTAACTTTAAGGTATGTTTTGCAAAACATTTTACTATATAGAGGAGACGATGAGTGAAATTCTTCTGTAGAATTTTATTTCAAAGAAGGCTGGAACCAGTAAAGTCAAGGAAATTATGGCACATGAAAGTTTGCTATTTTTATTTGTTTCAATAAAATCTGAAACTAACTTGATATTCAGGAGATAGTCTTTTATGTTTGATACAGAAGTTTCCTTAATGGAGAAGAAAAGAAATTTGGAAATCTGTATTTTTACCAAAATCTCATAAAGTCTATATTGCTTTTGCCAGGCCTACTTTCTGAATTAAGGATAAGGAAATTTCCTTGAGGGAAATGTCAGAATGATAAATAATCTTAATGTAGCAATAATGTATCTTCAAGAATGTCTTTTGAAAATTATTATCTAGTTAATAGTTGTTTGATTTTCAGATGCTTCCCTTAAAATGCTGTACGAATGGAATAGCACAGTTTGAGATGAATTTAAAATTAGCACAACCTGAATATTTTTGAGAAATTTCTGATTTGAAACTATAGGACTGCCTTAATAAATACAGTATTATGAACGGCGTGCCTAGCTTAGATGGTCACTGGCATTACAGAAATAACACAAGATTTGCAGTTAGGCTTGGTGTGAATAATAGCTCTGCAATAGCACCTCGTTCTGTTGCCTTAAATTAGTACTTAATCTTTCTGAACCTTAATTTCTCTAGATTCTGTGAATAGAGAATTAAAATATATTGCACAATTTGTATAAGTATCAAAAATAATTTATGCAAATTACAGAGTGTAGCCACTTTCAATGATGGGTACTTACTCAATGCTGGATGCCACCTTATTAACTATTCATTTCAATTATCTTGCACAAAAGATTTGAATAGTAGGATGTTTTGCTAAAGTTGAACGGTTAGACATTATTTGCCTTCATGTCGTGAATACATTACTCTTAATTTTCACTTATATTTTTGTGTTTTAAAAATATTCTAAATCAGAAGCCTGGTTATGGCATAGGATACAATGCCTTTTTTGTCCATCTGGGTTATTATGTATTATCAATATCTAGGTTTCCCTTTTGAAGCAATAAATATCTGTTCTTTTGGTTTTGTTTTTGGCAAGGGTTTATCTTGTTTATTCAAAGTCAAAGCTAACATTCATTTAAAAAATTTTTTCTTTCTAGTTTTATTTTATATTTTCTTCTTTACATTTAAGTGCTATCAGTCTTTATGGCATACAATTTAGTTTTTCAAAGCATGCATGCAGTGTGTGATAATCAAATCAAGAACACTGCTGTACACAAAGAACCTTACATTCTTGATCTGTTAAATACTTTTTTTCCTGAGCCCCTCTTACCCATCCCCAGCTACCAGCCTCCCTCATATATAATCTCCGGTATCTACATTTGTCTTCTCTGTGTCTTCAAATCTTTCAATTTCTGCCAAAAAGTACAGATGTTTGGTATATTATGGCTGCCCTCCCATAGGTTCCATCTGTCAGAACTATAGTCTTACTAAGCTGTACCTTGTTACTCATTTAAGTTTCTGGTGGAATCTATTTCTGTAAATATCAGCCCTGATACCTTTCACTAATTGATATTTACAGGAAGAAGAGAGTTTTTTTTTTTCCCCTTAGAATATGAAAACTGCAGGAAATATTATGTTTAATGCCTATGGAACTTTTAGATGATAGGGAAATGATTTTGTAGTCAGAACATATAAATTCAAAAGATTCAACCTTAATATGAGCTTAGTAATTTTTCTTATTTATGAACCTCTGATTGAATTGAGTTGTGGGAGATTTCCACTTAACCTTCTTTGTGACTACTCTTCAGTTGTAACCATATATTGAGTTGTTGGAAAAGTCATGACGTATTTTTCTATGTTTTTCTATGCTAATATGCTTTATTACTTTTCCCACAACCCAGTATGTTAGAAATGTAGCTTTCTTTCTTAGGAAGTACCACATTGCAGCCTTTCACTTGGTCTTTGAACTTCTTGGTCAGAGAACTAGTCAAGCTTTCTCATAGGCTGATACTTTCCAAGTATAAATTAAGAATAAGTTTTTATAATTTATTCCATCCTTCTAAAATGTAAAGTTGAACGGATTCTGGGAATTGAATGGTATATTGATTTATAAATGAAAAGTAAAGTACCATATGATAATGCTTTCCCTGGATCAATTAAAAAATGCTATTTTAGGAGTCATATGCGGTCCTTCTTAATGAGTTATAGGAAGAGGCATAAAATACATAAGCTCAGACTTACATAGAAATGCATTTGAGAACTATGGTCTTCATAAATTGCTCCGACAGCATGTCATCAGGTGGACTTTTAATCATAAGCAAGCTGTTTCTTACCCTACAGCGTTTTATCAGCAGGGTTTTTGTGCATATTCTGCAGTAGCTTGCTAGTTGTCACGGTAATTGCCTAACTACCTTTCTTGCTTTGGCAGTTAAGTGCCTCAGAACTGTCATTCATTTGAATCCTTAGTTCCTTGCAAGTTTTCTAAATTAAGCTGATAAGGACCTAAAGTAGGTAAGTAGGAGAGAACAGAGACAAATTGGATAGAGATGAAAATTGAACTGACTGGGTTTTGTGATCAGGTCCATGTTTGAATGGGTAGAGAGTTTGATCAAGGGTGACTCAGCATTCTAATCTAGGAGAATAGAGAATTCTCTTTCCAATATTCAGGTATAGTAAATGAAAAATAGAAACAGGCTTTATGGGAAATAACAAGTAGACATTCTTTTTAAAGAATTACTTGATTTAACTTTTTGTATTTATTTTAATTTGATCAGAGAGGGACAGAGTGAGAGAGAGAGGGGGAGGGAAAGTGAGAAAGCAAGCTGCCAGGTCTGGGACTCAAACCATGGTCAGCCGTGTGGGAGTCCAGCACCCTTAACCACCACACCACCTGCTGGCCCCGAAGAATACGTTTTTGGAAAGATTAAGTTCTATCCAAAAATCTGTTGGAACAGTGAGCATATTAACAATGTGTAGGGTATGTTTACAGTCACATTGCAGAGTCGGTGTACATATGGCCTTCTGAACATGTTGTGGTAGGGACAGGCAGAGAATTGGTTTGGGAGTGAGGTGGCAAGTGTTGGCTTATAGATCCTTGGAAAGTCTCTGCATGCTTTCTTCCCTCTCCTTCCCAGCTATATCACTGAGAATAAGAAGGTTTACAGTGCCCAGAACTGGGAGCCCATAAAAGAGGATGACTGTAGGTAAGGAGGACATTATGTCCTCAAACAAAAACAAAACAAAACAAAAATCATCCCAGTAAAAGTCACAGCCATGAACATGTTTAGATAATATATCTTATGGTATAATTCTGCAACAAAAACCCTTTCCCTCATCCCCAAAAATAGCTCAGATTCTCTCTCCTTGACTCTTTTTTTGGAGAGTTTTTTTGCAGAGTTTTTTTGCTATAGGGCGCGTGCACTCGCCAGACAGACAGAGAGAGACACAGAGACAGAAAGCAAGAAATCACCCCCCCCAGGGGGGATGATCACGCCGCAATCCCTTCTCTTCCATTCTCCTCTCGGGATCCTGGGCACTCACGCACACGCGCCTGGCGTGAGTTTTAAGTCACTGGGTCCAGGACGAGAACCACGGTCGACTACGTGGGAGTCCAGCGATATAACCATTACGCTAACTGCTGGTTCCCTCTCCTTGAATCTTATTTGAGAATTTGTATTGTTTTTGCAATATGGAAAAATACGAAGAGCTTTTTAAAAATATGTCATACTAATGAGGAACCTCACAGGTGCCGTGCTCTGCTGCAGTTATAAGACCTACAGGAATTTTACATTCGGCTCTACAGATGAGGGTCTCTGCCTGTGCAGAACTGGCAGGTGTTCATCACACACAACCTGCCAGTTTCAGGCAAACAAATCCCATCCTTTTAATTAAACAACAAACATCAACCTGTCAATGCTTATGATTAAAAACAAAGCAAAACTCGTCTGTTTCATCCTTTGGAGCGTTTAATTTGTTTCTTTGATTTCTGCTCTGGGGTATGGAAGCTACATCTATTTTTGAAATCTTTAGTTTGGCAAAATTATATTCAACTTTGCTTCTGAAATTTTCATTGCTAACAACATGGTTTGTAAAATATTAAAGGGCCATTAAGTTCACTTCCACTATTAAGTCTATTATTTGTCTAAACTCAAGGTTACAAAGCAAAATATACTCCCGTTCATCTCTCTCAAGAATGATTTACATTGTCGTGGTTGTCCTTAAGAAGTCTGCTTTAGTCTACCCTTCGGTGGAGGGCATTGTACTTAAGATATCATTGAGCTTTTCATATTTTTTTACTTAATTCTTAGAACTTAGGCTTCTCATCTCTAATTACAAACTGTTCATTCACCAGAAGCTTTGTGTTAAAGTAATTTTTTGTAATTACTTCCTACCAGTGGGAAACAAGGAATAGTTAAGTCTTTATCTCCCAGCTTCCTTTCAGGATTTTCATTTTCCTGCGTGAACCCAAGTGCTTGTGTCGCTGGTGTGGTTGTC